GTCTGCCAACCGCTTTGCAATCTGCCTTTCTCTAATTCTGCTCATTATCTCTGTGATGGGGCTGTTCATGCTGGAGCTGCACTTTGCTGAATAAATTGTAGGGACAGATGGAGGTGGCAGACTGGGGGGGGAAGAGCAGGAGCTGACATTGAGCCGGGAGCTCTTCACAAGAATGGTCGTATGTATGCTTCCTGGGGTGACAAGCTTGTGATTGGCATGTGGTATTGTCACCCAGGCACACCTGTGGCATGAATAAGCTTTACAAGGTGAAGGCAATCGGCTGTTTCTATGAAAGGCTTTAAACACAATTGGACTTTAGATGAATGAAGAAATCCTGGGGTTGAAAAGCAATACTATTTCAAATCCTTAGACGTGGTAGGTTTTCCTGATCTGGATTTTATTAAAAAAATTAAAAGAAATGATACTTTTTTTTTTTAAAGTATATGAAAGCATGAGGCATGAGGTAACCACTGTGTAGCAGGCCAGTATTTTATCACCCAGGGTTCGAATTGCTGATGACATCTTGGACATTTAGCTGGTTGCTGATTGGTCTGCCCTTAGATCTCTTTGTTGTCTTACTGTTAATGTATCCATTCATCTACCTATCCGGTCCATCCATCAGTCTCTCATCCCACCTGCCGATCTATCCACCAACTCATGCACTGAGGTTCAGCATGGGGGAGTGTTTCTGTTAGTAATAGTGTGGTTAGTTTGCCTTTTCCTCATTTGGACTTGGTTTTCTTTTGTCGTACAATGATTAGCATTATTTGGATTATTTAAAAGATCATATTAGTTTAAAATCCTGAGATTTTACAGTTTGTATTTTTGGCTGTAGATATTCAGAACAATTTTAGCAAGATCTTTGCTCTTGGAGCCAACTGACACCTGTCACCTAACACCTACAATAGTGACCACTGTTCACTTTCACATCTGCATTATCAGATGAGAAACTGAGGCAGGAGATTAGCTCGCCTTAAAAACAGTCACCAGAGAGATAAGATCAGCAGATCATTTCAGGGCCATCAAAGACCATGATCCAGCTGGGAGGTGGCTCAGCTAGCTCAGTGCCAACTACACACAAGCACCCGAGTTCAAGCTCAACACCCATGTAAAAAGCTGGGCATGCGTAGAGACAGGTGGAGCTCTGCGGCCAGCCAGGCTAGTCTAATTGGCAAGTCCTAGTCTAGCGAGAGACCCTGTCTCAAAAATAAGCCTGAAAGCTCCTTAGGAATGACATCTGGGGCACAGGCATACAGACCCATGTGCACCCATACCCACATGAACATGTGTACACACGCACGCACACACGCACGCACGCACGCACGCACGCACGCACACAGGCACACACACCTCCACAACCATCAGTAAACTGACTCAAGTAGGTGCATGTGTCTTTAACTGTAGGGACTTCCGGGGAGGCTGGAGCATGGGTGCCCAGATGGTCACAGTAGGGACTGGTAGGGGAACACAGCTTGAGCTGGCCAGAAAGGCTCCTTCTCCAGTCTTTATCTGTTCTAAAGGGAGCGATTGTGCAGAGACATGACCAGAGGAGTCCATGCGGGGATGTGTAGGACTCGAAGCCCTTCTGATAAACCCTGTGAGCCCCTAACCCTCCATGTGGTGCCGGGCCAACTGCATTCCCCTGATGCCTCCTCCATCAGCGAAGTCACTGACCAGCTCCGCCAAGGCTCTCTGCACTTAAGTGACTCTGCCCCCTGCTCATCCCTCCCCCACTCCATAATCAGCCGGTTAAAAGCCTCTGCTCCTTTCTCTGGATTTCAAAAAGAGAAAACTCCTTCATCTTCCTCCCCTCTGCTGTCTCCTAGATTTTAACCCATTTTTTCTGTGATTTAAGAACTTCTTCTGTCCAATAAACGGATCAGTAGATTTTTGTGGGCTTTGCTAGTGAAAAATATAGCACAATATTTAGATTAAAACAGTCTGATAGCCACACTTGAAAAGCACATCCTGGTTACTTGATGAATTCCTCCTTTTCCTCTTTATTCCTGGTATCCTGGGGTGGCCTACTGGAGGAAAAAAATACTATTTGATTCTCCCTGGGTGGTCAGGGAGGTCTTGTAAAGACTCTTGTTTGTTTTGTGTGAGCCTTCAAAGACATGCACGTTTTCCGCCATAAAGATGTACTAAGAAAATAGGGATTTTTTTGAAGTTGCTATGTATAAAGGGAGATTCAGAGCAACCATCTTCCTTTAGAACTGCAAGCTAATGTGATTAGAGGGACTCCTTTCAGCAGGAGCCTTTGTTGTTTCTGTCTGTGGTCATTACCACCAGGCTTATGGGGGAGGTTTATGCTTACAAAAACTATTTCCACCTGCTTCTCCCCCATCCCACCCCCACCCCCCACCCCCGCCCTAAATTCATCATACACACATATACTTTAATTTCTAAAGCTACATTTATTATGTTCACCTGGGCTTTTTTGGGGGTGGTGGTGAAGAAACATGGGTGTGGGGGGATGTGTATGTATGTGCACTTGTATTTGTATGTGTGTGTTTGCGTATATGTCTACGTGTGTGTGTGTGTGTGTGTGTGTGTGTGTGTGTATGCATACATGTGTGCCCATGCACTCGAGTGTGTGTGTATTTGTATAGCCCTCCTGAGGTGTGCTCTAGGGCAGCACATTTCAGGCCAAGTCTCCTGCATATCCCAATTAGTGAAGCCCTCCTGCTGTGGTGAGGAGAAGAGTCTGGATGTGCGTGCATTCGGGCCAGCTAAGTGTGGGATGCTTTTTCATGCAGCCTCTGCAGAGCTGTCTCATTAGCACCCCAAGGTCAGTGGGAAGTTGGGAAGCTGCTGCCATGTGCATAGTTGCTGTGCTCTGCTGTGCCTAGCGGTAGCGACCGTTTTATTTACCCAAGCTTCCTTTCTGCATCTCAGAATATTAATTGTGTGCACTTAATCAGGGAGGCTGATAATGCTGAATGATTTTCAACCTGGAGGGAGCCAGAGCAGGTGTGTCCTGGATACGACCGACCGCTGATCCATCCAATGGTTTTCTTGCTACCTGAATCGCAGGACAAACGTGCTTTGCCAATTATGTGCAGCCCAGTAGGGAGAGAAAGATGACCTTGAGCCCTAGAGAGAGCTCTCGACTGTTGCTTTCTACTGTGTGTTCACCTATTGAAGACGCACCACCACCTTGGCCCAGGAGGAACGCTGTGCTGTCTAATTCTTAGACAATTAGTTCTCCTGCAAAACAAAAAAGAAGCCAAGCAGAAATAGCTGAATCTGCCCTGAATTGCCAAGAACTTTGCTCTTGGAATCAGGTTTGTAGGAAATAAGTACTTTGTGGTGTAGCTACTAAAAATGTAAGGGTAGCTGAACTTCCAAGTTCCCTTCCGTGTCAAGAAAAACTTGCTCTTGCGAACTCTGTGTGTGTTCAGGGAAAGACAAGTACAATTTCAAGTAGATTAGAATTTTTATTTATTTATTTATTTATTTATTTATTTATTTATTTATTTATTTATTTATTTATTTTGATACAGGATCCCTTGTAGCCCAGACTAACCTAAAACCCTCTTAGTACCTAAGGATGACCTTGAACTCTAGGTAACCCCTCCCCTTCTACTTCTCCAGTGCTGGGATCAAAGTGTGTATATCCAAGCCTGGCTAAAAGGGTTATTAGCAAATTTTGTTCTCTACTCTACTGAGTAATTGTTTTGTAATCAAACACATGCTCATAAAATGCCGGAGTTTAAAAAAAAACGATAAGCCTGGTCATAGGAAACAGACTTGACCTTTGATGTGATCTTGCATTTCTTTTCAAGTGCTAGAGTCAGTGCTCACTGGGGTTTTGACAACAGCAGGAGACTGGCACCCAAGCTTTGGCACATGGTCCTGTCGTGAAGTTCTCCTCTGAGGTCATCAGCTGGGCTTCCGGTCTGTGACTGCCACTTCTGCTTCTGGGACAGGGACAGTTTCTTGCACATCCTCAGCCCTAGTCTCTGGCATCTTCGGTTGCTGGCAGTGCTCAGTTGTGCAGGCCAGAGGTCAACATCGGATATCATTTCTTAGCGCAATTGCCCTCAGTGTTTGAGACAGGGTCTCTCAGCCTCCTGGAACTCATGAAGCAGTCGAGAATCAGCCTGTCTTGCCTCCCTAGCACCAAGATTACAAGAGCATGCCACCGTGGTGGCCAGCTTTTAAGTAGGTGTGGGGAATGGAACATGGGTTCTCATGTGTGCGGGGCAAATACCACTTACTGACCCATTTCCCTAGCCCTGTTGACAATGGTTTTGCAAAATTGTTTTAAAGTCTAAATGTAATGAGCTACATACATCATTAAGGTAAGGGTTGGTGAGATGGCTCAATGATTAAGAACATAGGCTGCTTTTCCAGAGGACCCTGGCTCCATTTCTAGTACCCAAGTGGCAGCTTATGTGGTAACTTCAGTTCCAACTCCCTCTTCTGTTCTGGTGTCTGTTCTATTGGGCATGTAAGTGGTACACATATGTAATGTAGGCAAAACATCTATATCCATAAAAAAAACAAAAAAAGCCAAAAACCACTAGGGTACATCATGCACATGTGGCTGCCATGTGCAACCACCTCCCCCACCCCCACCCTCGTTGGCATCCCAGGACTAGTGATCTCCTCAGTCAAGTCCTCTTAGCTTTGAGAATTGCTCTGGAGAAATCTATTACCAGATCATGAAGTCTAGGCTTGAGATGGCTACATGTCCTGCTTTCCGTACCTTAGGAGCAGCCAGACTGGAGCTGAGCCCATCCTTGCCGAAGACTTCAGGCATTGTCCTAGAATCGAGAGACTTAGCGCTCTGCAGTGCGTCTCTGGTGTGGCTCTAGAACAGTCAAGTGCAAGGACAGAATTAAGGGGAGGATTTAACTACCAATCCACGTATCCACTTTCTACACGGTCCTCTGAGGACTTTAGTACTTAACAGACATACGTGTGAGACTCACCCTACTGTGTCTTTGAGTTTACTCTTTCGGTGTCTGACTCAGTTTCCCTTTCTCCCCTAGCACTCCCAGGTGACTTCCCAAGAAGCCTTCACACCCAGCATGTTCAGGTAAGGGACTTTTCCTGGGTGGGGAGGATTGCTCAATGAAGCATCTTAGTGATTCTGTGTGTGAGTCCAGCCTGTGCTTTGCTTTTGCCTGGGCTATCCCAAAGTCCCAGATGAAACTTCACAGTGATTTGAGTGTCTTTTTCTGTTGTTGTTTTTTTCTGTCATAATAGCTTTACTTTTATGTATTCGTATGTGTACCTTATGATGATATAAAACATACATCATTCAATTAACATTCATTAAACCCTAATTTTAGGCTGAAGTTTACCTCCAAGGAAGCAGGCAACTCACTTGGCCCTTGCCAATTCTAGTCATAGTGCTTGGAAATTTTTCTCTTCCATATGAGTCTCTTAAAGATGGGAATAGTTTGTTTTTTGTTTTCTTGTTTTGTTTTGTAGCCGTAAATACCATTTCTTCCACCCTGTGTAGTGTCAGTCCTAACTAAGTTCTATTAAAATGTAGCCAGTGTTCAGTTGTCTAAACATACCAGAGAGTTAAATCCAAAGCAGTTGACCACAAAATGACCAGCAGCCATCACATCACAGGTGAGCGGCTAGAAATGCAAATGTTAATTAAAAATGAAGATAATTAGACCCCTCCTCTGGCCAGTGACTCAGTGATTCTAGCAGTGGGGTGTTGTAACATGCTTTCCAGATGATTCTTAAGATGGTGGAGTTAGGCAAACCACTGGTAATCAGATGTTCAATTTTAAGTTCTCTGCTCATCCTATTTTGTACTTCTCATTGTGTTTAACACGACAGTACCTCCTGAAGACCTTCAAATTCATAAGATCACAGTGTGTTTACACCCTGTATCACCTGGATGGCTCCCACCTTCCATTGCCTTCTGGGACCCATACCAAGACAGTGGCAGTCTCCAGTTGGAGCAACAGAAACTCAGCCTGTGTGTGTTATGAAGTAGATCTAGGACCTGGGGTCAGAACTGGTGACCATGCAGATGAGCTTCTGCAAGGGCATGTTTTCTGACTTGTGTTTCTCAGCTGCTGGCTGGACAACTGAATCTCTTGCTTGACCCCATGAGATGTGGGCTTTTGTTGGGGTGGTGGGGCAGGGTTTTGAGGCCCTCCAGGTGCAGTCATGGGTTTGAACCTCTGGTGAAGGCTTGCCTTTGGTTTGAGACTCATCTGGGGAGAGATGAGCTCCTGTAGGTCCTTGCAGACCCTTACCTGTCAAATGAGTAAATTCTTTGAGAGCTTCAGTTCGTAAACCCCAAGGAACCCAAGCTAAGGGTGATTCTTGGGCTGTCTCTGGGTTTGTTGTTTTCATTGGAGTAAGTGGTCACCCTTCTATGAGATCCAGGCCAGTCTGTGTCTAGGAAAGGAGATTTTGATCATCGTTTCCAACTTGTGTAGAGGCGTCTTCAGTAGACTGTGCATTTCTGCAGCATGCATGGCTATCCCCTTTCACCTCTGTCCTTCTCTGATTGTAAGTGGACACGACTCCAGGAAAGGAACTCTCGGGGACTGACACAGCTTTTTGCAGTGTGAAGTGTTTTCATTTATCTAAGACTCTCAAGGGGGCCAGAGTTTTCCTTGTCATCTCCAAAACTATGGAAAGGAAAAGTTGAGCTGTCTTTGTTGATGGAGTGTTGAGACAGTCTACAGAAAAAGGAAAGGGAAACAAGTTCTTCTGATATTCTTGGCTGAGTTTATCACCTGTCTCTCCCACCCCAAGCTTCTGGCAAGCATGATTAGAAATTGACTCGTATCCTCCAAGATTGCTTGCTTGCTTGCTGCTGACTCTCGGTAGTTAATTCGACATCCCTCACACGTGTTATCCCCAAATCACAGAACTCATTAGAAATAAACAGCATGAATTTGGTCAGTCACATTTTCAGGATTAGCCAGATGTAAATCTGAGTTGCAGTTGGGAGGTTTCCTGCGTGTCATTTAAAAATAAATAGACCTCTAGCCTTGAGTAGAAGCAGATTAAAAAAAAAAAAATCTTAGTGGAAAAGCATTTTATTTTTCCAGTTTAAAAAAAAAAATGGGTTGGAGGTTTTTTGTTTTTTTGTTTTGACATCAATGCTTAGTTTATGTCATGCCCTTTTCATTCCCCTGCTGATTGCAGATGGGGTAGAAATAAAGACCCAGTTTCATTTCCCAAGATGGGAAAGTTTAATCAGTGCAGGAAAATATTTGTAACTGATAGCAGAGGTCTGAAACCTGATTGGAGTCTGCCTGGTAAGACAGGCCTGTCACCTCAGCTACTTAGTAGGTTGAGACAGGAGGGTCTCAAGTTCAAGGTCTAAGCAGGCTGTACAGTGAATTAGTTCAAGGCCAGCCTGGGCAACTTAGCAAGACCCTGTCTCAAATCAAAAGTCAAAAGAAGGCCAGGGATGTGTAGCCCAATGGCAGCTGCTTGCCTTCCCTGGGCAAGGGACTGGGTTCTAGACCCAGCTTTGCAAACGAAACAACAAACAAAATCTACTGTGTGGTCTCAGGCCACTGTTTCCTACTGGGGAAATCAATGTACATTTATGTATTTCCCAAGTCGTTTTGTGGAAAATCTTCACTATACAGGAGATTAACTTAAGTTGTATTGACCTTGACCATGTTTGATTTCCTGGCCCTTAGAAAAAAACATTTATCACTAAGAGAAACTGAAAGAATGCCCCCCCCCACGTGATTACAATATATGATTTATGTGATTAGAAAATTTCTGTTTTCTGTTGATATGCAAATTTGCTGCCAGCCGTACAGAATATCACATGCCACCTGTTTCTAATTCCAGCAAAACCTGTAATCAGAACGAATGCAAAATACTGTATTGGCTGTGCTGGTTAGGAATCTGGAAAATAATTCAAATCTATGAAAACTTTCTATTTTTCTTGTGGATCATTGTAAATCAGATGTGCATGCAAATGCCAAGGGCTGACCTCATAGCAGGGAGAGAGAGATGGAAGTCTCCCATGGACTGCTTGAAATCATGTTAGCTCCTAGAATCTCCAAATTTGATA